CAAATTTTTAACGCGTTTTCATGATCAAAAATGTAACATCTTTTTTCGTTAAAGTCGTTAAGTTTTTAACGATTTTTACATGGGTACTAACGCGTGAACTAACGAAACTTTATTGGACAAGTAATTCGAATATATCAGTACACATGCAGATACTTGAATTAATGCAAAGAAAGCATATACCAAGAGAAATTCTGGTCTATTGCATTCATATCCACTGCTGATACAACAAATATAAATTCTTCGATTGATGTTTTTCGACTGATAAATTATTTAGCTATTCTGTCTAAACACAAAAACCGGTTCTTATCTATGACTTGACATAGTTTTTTCAACTGTTTACATCTGATATTGCTTAATCAGATCCATTGAACATCGGCTATTCATGCTTATTCAGTGAATCCCAATAGTTTCAATCAGTTTTCTGCAGATAACCCAGTGCAGCAGCTGGTCGCTCGTCGGCGCCCCTTTGGGGCGCCACTCGCGACTAGCTGCTGCCACCTTTGATCTTATTTTACCCTGACATAAATCCTTTCACTTAAACCCTATCAAATGCCAGATTGGTCTTACTTAGGAAACTATTAGATTTACAAGTTTTTCCAAAGCAGCTATAACCACATTTACCACGATATTAACAAAAATATAAAATAAAAAAGTTGAATATCTCACCATCATCTTCTCCTTTCTCCAGTATTAGACGAAAGTTTCAATCAAAAAATATCTCAATACCTGGCAGTATTGTCAAAAAACCTACACCTCTTTAACTACAGACAACGAACTGATATTTTCTCCAATTCTAGATTCAAAATATCTGACTGATTATAATAGCCCTACACAAAGCATCATCACTTAGAAACTCAGCTAAAAACAAGCCTCATCCATGAAAATTCAGTTATGAAATTGCTGATTAAGAAGAAACTTATCCCATACGTCAAATTGACTGAATTTTCAGTCTGAAAAATCGAATCGGTTGAAAGTCATATTAAAACCAGAAGCACCAAACACTTCGCTAACATTTTAGATGATGTTTTACCTTTCACTCTGATACAAAATAGACAAAAATTCATTTTATTTCATACAACTCTTGCTGCACTCCAGGAAATATTATTTACTTCAAAAAAGAATTTTCCCCTCAGCCTAAAAGAACTCAATGAGAGATCTCGAAAAACTCACTTCAGAATCGAATTCCCCGACCCCGATTTAGTATCATCAACCTTTATCAAATACCATTATTTCGTCAAAAACCCTTTCCTTCACCCAAGAAACTCAATTCAAAATGTTGAAAAGCTGACTTCCAATTCGGATTTCCTCCCCTCGATTACCTTTTGGTCAAGTTTTATTGAAAAATAATTAATAATCAATTAATAATTAGTTAATAATTAATTAAAACTAACTTCAGATTCGAGTTCGTCACCCTCGATTACCTTTTGGTTAAGCTTTATTGAAAACTATTAATTAATAATCAGTTAATGATTAGTTAATAATTAGTTAAAACTAACCTCAGATTCGAGTTCGTCACCCTCGATTACTCTTTGGTCAAATTTTTTTGAAAAGATTATTAATTAATAATCAATTAATAATTAGTTAATAATTAATTAAAACTAACCTCAGATTCGAGTTCCCCACCCTCGATTACCTTTTGGTCAAGTTTTATGCAGAAGCAGATGGTTTTTTTTTTTTTTGACCCTGATGTTCTTTTGACCCCGTGCAGACAGACAGGCATACACACGCACAACTTATTTTTTTCATATAACTCTCCCTACAGTCAAGGGAATGAACAAATATTCTTCTGTCTATTTGTTGACCGTTACGCACCTCAATTTATAACAAAGAAAAAAAAATTAACAACCCTTCTCTATCTATATGTTGGACGTCACACATTTCAGATTGTAAGGAAGAAAAAAAATCAATCGTCCGTGATGAGCATTGACCCAATAGTATATACATATTGTTTCACACTGAATTGCCCATCATTTTTTCAAAATAAATATGTGTCGCGCACAATCTCCTGAAAGAGTCTTCGATGTAAGTAATACATTTTTGGTTGAGAAATATGAATCCTGCTTCGATCGGACAATAAGATTTTCAAAACTCTCATACCAAACATGGTTCACACTTTTCATTTTTTTTTTCGTTCTCACTCTCTCCAGATACACATGCTATCAACAGACTTTAAGTTGAGGAAAGAAAGGTCTTCATCCGTCCCTATGCTACTCAAAATTGATTAGATAATACTTAAACATCGCCTCTAAATAAAATTATATTCTCGTTAATTTTAGATCGAATCCATGCACGATGGTCATGCACCAATTGATGATCCTCAACCAATGGCCACGTCATCATCAACTCCACCAGCACACTTAAGTAAGTAATTTAAAAACAATGTATATCATGTGTAGTTACTTTTGTTTTAGGTTTTTCTCACATATACGAAAAAGTAATATTTGGTGTTACTTGTACTGCTGGTGGTGTTGCTATTGGTATTGCTATTTGTGTAGCTATTGGATATTTCAAGTACAAATGAAATTATTTAATAAATGCTGATCCACAGAATGAAATATTACTACGCATCTAAGAAACAATTTTTTACATTCAAACTTTTTTTTTTGTTCCTCTCTCTAATCATTATCTGTATATAGAAATATCAGCAACCAATATTTGTTCACAAAAAAATGGCTAAACTCAGTTTCTCTTAGTCACTTGTCGATAATGTTGTGTACATAATAAGCTTATTTTACCTTGTCCATATCTATTACGTGCATACTTATACATATAATATTTGTCTATTAAGTTAAAATTGAATTGTAGAATAAATAAAACAAGATTTATATATATGTATATTTTTATGTTTTTTTTGATACATTCAATCTCAAGATTTTATCTTGTATTTTAGATACATAACAAACAACAACAACAACAAAAAGAATTTAACCACGTAATGAACTAAGTGGTGCTGGACCATATGGTCGTGTATTTGTTGATGGATGATCACTTGTATATTTATTTGATTCAAGTTTAAAAGGAAATTGAAGGAAAAACTAATTGAAAAAAAATGAATAAATAATAAAATTTGAGAAAAAAAAAAGAAACATACTTGTTTTGTTTCTGTATTATAAAATGTCCAAAATTTTCCTTCAGATTTATCAACTTCACGACTTGGAATCTTAAATAATCAAAAAAAAAAACATTCGTATATATTAATTAACAACAAATAAAAAAAAATACTTTAAATGCAATTGTTTCATATGGTTCAGAGGCAAAAAGTAAATATTGCCAACGACGATCTGGTGCTTCAATATGTTGTTCAAAACCAGACATAAAACGATGTTTAGGTACAATATTATCTGATATTTCAGGATAATCAATTTGAAAAAGAAGTGATTGTTGTTTTGTATCCAAATTTTTAATTAATAAAATATTATTATTATTAGTTCTAATAAAATTTTTAATATGAAGATTGTCTTAGATAATGTAAAGAATTTTCATTTTTTTTCTTTTTCGAAGGTTCTACATAACACATGCTTTATTATTCCAAACAGATAGTTTCTATGAAAAAAAGGTCAAAAATGGCTCAACAGAAGGTAAAGAATTAATAAGAACAGTAGATGTCAGTAGACATTGTAATTCTTTCACAATGTGAATATATGAATCTTCTCTTCATCTACATCTTACTAATAAATACTATATGTGTCTATATCAAGAAGTTGCAGATCCACAACTCCTCAATCTGTATGATAATGAAGTGAAAAATAAAACTTTACTTGGATCACGTTATTTTGTAACTAAAAATAAAGAAAATTAAATTAAAGAAACTTTAATCAATCAAAAATTTACCTTTAAAACCTGGTCGACCAATTTTAATAAATTTACGAACTTCATAATGTGGTTTTATTGGTTGAACTATATCAGATGATTGTTGATTTTCACGAGCAGCACGTCGAGCTCTAGAATAAATTTATTCAATATTATAATAGATATTGAGTTTATTTTCCACTCGAACAACAAAATTTGTATTGAACGGATATGTTTCTAGAAGACCAATGGCTCCGAAAATTGAGGATAATAAAATCCTCTCTGTATTCCCAAAATCTAGTTTTTCAATACCCCCAAAAATAAAAGTTTCTTTTAATTACACCGAATGATAGAACAAATAATTCTCTAGAAAATGAGATGTCTCTGAGCTCTCCATAGTCGTTTTTTTTTGACTGAACTACAGTCAATTTTAAGAAAAACACAAAAGAAACTTTTCTTTTTTGGATTCTCACTACTGAAAAACTAGATTTTACGAATACACTGAGAATTTCATTTTCATCAAATCTTTGTTGAAAATAGAGACGATTATAAGATTCTGACACACAAACAGGTTAATACCACCGTTATCGTCATAACACAGTCGAATACAACGGAAATGGCATCATGTATTGACATATCACGAAAGAACTTGCTGTCGGACTTCATACCCGCTTCAGAGAGAAGTCTCGGTAAGGCTAGAAAAATTTGTGCTTATAGGCTTGTAATAGAACTTTATAATATATACAGCATTAGATGGAGAAACTCTTCTTATTTAATTAACAAAACTTACAAATTTGATTGATGTTTTTTTCCTTGTGTATGAGCCAAATAAGAACCTTCATTATTATGTAAAGTTAAACAAAGTTTACATTCATATGTTCCTAAATGATTTTTCATAAAATAAGGATCTTTAGCAAGATTAATTGTTTCAAGAGCCAATTGACGGAGTCGTTCACGTCGATCACGATTCGATTCCGATGCACTGGCAACACCACCACTACCAGTTTTACCACCAGTACGATGTTGAAAATCCATGGTTTAATGAAGATGAAAAACTATTGTAATAACTAATAATAAACAAATTGCTTTCTTTTTTGGAAATTTCGAAATGACAAAAATCTTTTATTTTTTATTGGTGAATAAATTTAACCAATGAAAAATTTTCTTTTAAGACCTCTATGAAATATTAAATTATTTTTATATAAAAATAATAAAATTTCTTTTTTATTTTTATTTTAACCAATCATAAAAAAAAATTTTCTTTTTCTTCTTATTGTTTACTTTCCCAATCTTGTGTCATTGGAAAAATATTGCATATATTATACATTCATTTGTCCACCTTTATTCATTCAATATAGAAGAAAAACAAACAAAACATCAAATAATTTCAGGCAAAATTATTTTAAAATCAGCCACTAAATTATCACTCGATAAAAGGTAATTATATTATTATTCATTATTTTAATCAAATATTTCAAAATAGATTTACTGAAATTGCTAAACAAACATCAACAATTTCACCACGTATACAACAATAAGCTAATGTTATTATTCCATATTCAAGACAAGAATTATTTGGAAATAAACGACCACATGTTTTAACTATTGCACAATGACTTAAAAAGGTAGTTTATTAATGTTCAGATTCAGAGAAAAAAAATTCAAATAGTTTATATTCATATGAAATAAACTATTTGACAAAACAGAAAAAGTTTTTGAACTTGATCCTTTCATTTGTAATTTTCATAAATCAGAAAGAGATTAAATTTAACATATAGCTGTTTTCAAAAAAAGAAACTTATACATCTTGTTATGCAAATATATACCACTTTCAAGTAGTTTCGTATACTGGGTGATAGCCTATGATGAGTACTATTAAATACTATGCCTTAATATTTTATTCGTTCATCTTTAGAAGGAATAAGAGACAAACATCTTTTTTTTTCATAGACATTACAGAATTCTTTACAATATTAACATCAATGTTTTTGGGGTTTTCTTTTTTTCAACTTTGTGTTTGACAATCGATCAAATATTTTCAATAGGTTGACATCTGAACTATTAGGTGGCCACTCTTATAATTGTAGTTGATGAATCGTCTAGGAATATCACTAGTATATTTCGGATCGTTATGTTGCTGTAAATGTCAATTTTGACGGAGAAACAAATAGTAAGACTACATTATTCTCCTTGATTACTTACGTCTAGCAACAAGAAGAAGATGATATGGGCCATCAAAATTGCATCTGTACGTGTAACAGATCAACACACCTCTCACACTAAAAGAACTCCACATGAACAGTCTTACAAAAAATTTGAAATAAAGATTCATCGGTAAATATTGTACATGTAAAATTATCATTTTGATGTTGTTGTATCGAAAAGAAAAGAAATCAGACTTTTCTCTATGGTCAATGTATAATCTAGCTAACGAACATATATTCATGGAAGAATAAATTTTATAATTGCTTTCTAACGGTAAGCAAACTGTTACATAAAAAAATTTAAATTTATGCAAGTTGTTCTGAAAATAGCTGTATATCGGTTGATAGTACTTTTGAAAATGATATCAATCATTAGCAGGTAGTTGTTAACTTTGAAATGCATACAGTGTTAGAAATCGTATAGAGTTTATGAAATGAATAGTACACGAACTTATGATTGCTTTGATTTTTACTAATAAAAATGCCATAAATTTATTCTTCGAGAGTTTATTATTTAATTGTAAAATATCTTTTTATATGTAATAAATCAATAATGCAGTTTTTACAAATACATTTTTCAATTAATTCTCAAGTAACTACGTACTTAATGACAATGAATAGCAAAAAGAAGACAATGTATGTAGTGAAAAATAAAATCTCTTGTGTTTTATCAATATGTAGCATTCATCCTACATTTGACAATATAGAATTATTCTAAATGCAATTATTTCATATGATTTTAGCGAAGTATTAACTATCGACTTGGTCTTAATGCAAATACCAATCCAAATCGTTTTTATACAACTCCAAATAAACCACGTGCTTTTCAACGTCTTAGTTATACTAATCGTCGACGTATTGATAGTAATGGAAATAATTCAGGTGCTAATCGATATTTATTTGGTGGACAAAGTGGTATGGGTGTACGTCTTCGTGGACAAGGTCGAATTCGTGGAAGTATGTATTAATTTAAAGATATTTTATTTTATTTTTTGTTATAATCAATATTTAGCACGAACATTTCGTCCTCGAACACGTGATTATTTAAATAATAATACAATCAGTCGATATAGTGGTTATTTAATGCGTGGAAATAAAAATAATCGAGGACGACGTAATGCAAACAATAATAATAATAATAATTTTAATCGGTAAAAACAAAAAAAGAAGAAAAAAACAAATTCTATTTATCATTTATTAGATCAAATCGTGGTCGTTTTGGAAAAAATTTTAATCGTGGACGTGGTCGAAATAATAATAATAATAATAATAATAATAGAAATATTACAAGAGAAAGTCTTGATACTGATCTTGATAAATATATGGCTCAAACAAAAATTGAAAATGATTCAGTTGATATGAATCTTATTTAATTATTATAACTAAACAACAAGAACAAAAAAAAAA